TGATTTATTGATCTTGATTTAATATATTCACATATAGAGAAAAACCAGAATATATATGTATTTATATATAAATATATGTTTCTGTTCAATTATTGTGTGCTGAAATTTAAATAATGTTCTGACTGCTGATGCATTTGTAAATGACATTTTAATATGAATAATTTATGTTGAGAAAAAACAAAAATGAACCAATAAATTAAGGGCTCAACTATGATATTTTTAAAATCTTGCTTTGTTTTAAAATATTTATTGCACTGTTTGACTATGACTTCACAAAAACACTTGATTTACCAAGAGAAAACCAAAAACAAACAACAAACTTTGTAGAAACAAACCTCTAGTAGATCATATTTAACACCACATTGCTTGTATCTAGTTAATCAATAAGATCTGTCCATTTCACCTCCAAAATCTCTCTTAAATTTATTCACATCTCTCCATCTATGTTGCCACCAACCAGGTTCAAGAAACTACCATTGTTTTTTCTCCTGGGTGATTTCAGCAGCCTCCCTCAATATTTACTCTTGGCTTCCTCTAATCCATTTTCTACAGAAAAACCAGGGTAATCTTTAAAACCAAGCCAAATGGAACTAAGCATTTCATGTGACACTCCAGGCTAAAATAAGTTAATGGTGTCTCATTGCTCTAAGGCAAAATACCAAACTCCTTAAGGGGGCCCTGTAAATTTTAACCACTGATTCATTCTGTCTCTGGCCATATAGTTTCTATTCTTCTATGTACTCTTTGAAAGACTCATTCTCCCTCTGATTTAGGCTATTCTCCAGACAGAATCACCTCTCCCTGGACTGTCTTCTTGCTCTTCATCTACTCACGCTCTTCACTAAGTGTAGATCCTCATCTGTACACAGTTAGTGCTTCCCCTCTTGTTTCTTCATAGCACGTACCATGACTGTCCTTTCACTGGGAATATAAGCCACATGAAAGGAATGTATTGCTTCTCCTGTTTATGGGCTTAACCCCCAGCGAAGTTTTTAAACACATTAATAGGAATTCAGTATTGACTGAAAACAAAAAAGAATTTTAAAAACCCAATGAACAAGGACTTAAAAAATTCATAATCTCTCTTATGAAAATTCACGATATCTATAAACATTGAGCTGAAATAAAATTGTTTATTTCCCTGAATATGTACATATTCATTGTTTCTTTTGTCTCTGTACCAACAGAACATTCTTGTCCAAGTGGACTAGTTTTCAAGTACAATGTAAAAGCCTGTAATAGTTCTTGCCGATCATTGTCAGAGAGAGATAGGAGCTGTGATGTAGAAGATGTTCCAGTTGATGGATGCACCTGCCCTGATGAAATGTACCAGAATAATGAAGGAAACTGTGTACTGAAATCTCAGTGTGACTGCTACATAAATGACGAGGTCATGCAACCGGGCAAACTCATCCATATTGATGACAATAAATGGTATGGAAATTACATGTATACTTGCTATGACACTGAAATCAACAGACTGTGTTCTTTTCAGAGAAATGGTCTTTTGTCAGTATGAAGTCTTTTTAGACTGGTCATACTTATGATTCTTATTTCTTAATAAAAATCTCTTTTATTCTGGAAGGCTCATTGCATCCTAATGGATATAGATTATCCCACTCTGGTTTTGTTTTAAACACCAGTAGAAAAATATTCTGGTAAATTCTATATACAGACAATGTGAAATGATTTCATATTCAGAAGATGCTCTCTAGCTGTCTCTCTGTAGTCATCATTCAACAAACACTTATTAAGTGTCTGCAGTGTGCCAGGCCTTGTGCTGAGTGCTGGAGTTGCAAAGCTGAAGGAACATTGTCTTGGACTTCAAGTAAGCAGGGCACAAACTATTAGAAGGAGCTTTGTATACTAGAATATGGTAGCAGAAAGAGCCAGGTACTACCTAAGGAGATTAAGGAAAACTTCTCAGAGAAGACAGGCAAATAAATTGTACGAGGGAATGAATCTTTTTCCAGACAAAAATGAAATGTAGAGGATGATTTCCTGTAAACAGAATGCACAGATGTAGGAAATGTTAGAAAAAAACTACACATGTGGGTTGTTTTGTACAAGATTGGGTTAGAAACACTGACAGTGGTCAGATCATAACCAAGAATTTGGAATTAGTTTCTGAAGAATTGAAGAATTTTGACTATTTTGGCCAAGGAGGCTATGATTTCTACAGTTTGGAGCAAAGTAATTTTTCTCTTTCTTTCTCTTTCTTTCCTTCTTTCCTTTTTTCCTCCCTTCCTCCCTTCCTCTCCTTCTTTCCTTCCTCTCCTTCTTTCTTTCTTTCCTTCTTTCCTTCTTTTCTTTTCTTTCTTTCTTTCTTTCTTTCTTGATGGGGTCTCACTTCAATTGCCCAGGCTGCAGTTCACTGGCACAGGTTTGGCTCACTGCAGCTCCAACCTCCCTGGGCTCCAGTGATTCTCCCACCTCAGCCTCCTGAGTAGCTGGGACTACAGGTGCACGCCACCATGTCCAGCTAATGTTTTGTATTTTTAGTAGATACAGTATTTTCCCATGTTGCCCAGGCTGGTCTTAAACTCTTGGACTTAAGCAATTCACCTGCCTTGGCTTCCCAGAGTGCTGAGATTACAGGCATGAGCCACTGTGCTCAGCCTGGAGCAAAGTAATTTAAGCATGTTTCTAATTCCATAGAGAGATGTAGGAATTCTTGACAACATAATTGCCAAAATGAATTAGCCATTCAAAAATACTTTGAATACACCTCCTCTCTTTTCTTTGGTTTCATGAGGCTATCATTTAGCAATAAGTAATTTTTCTTGATCATTCAAAAGGAAAGCCTAGGTAACCCCTTTATATCAAAGCCCATGAGCCTTTGGCTGGGGTTTGATAATGATAATTTCTTTTTCTCTGTAGTTTTGGGGAATCAATAGATTAACTTTTTAATGGTGCTTAATAAAGAATTACTATTTTATCTGTTTTGGACATTAGAAAATACGCAGTCTGCTCTTATTTTCATGGGAATCAATACATTAACTTTTCAATGAATCAGGCCAGTACCTCCAAATTATGTTCCCTTCACCATATTTGAGACTTTTCTCAGCTGGCACCACTGTGATAGCTAACTTGGTTGCTCATTGTTGCTCTGTCTCTCTGTCTCCTGTTTCCTGCACTACTGCAAGAATGTGTAGCTTAAAGCCACGTGCATACCTATGTAACAAACCTGCACGTTCTGCACATGTATCCCAGAACTTAAAGTATAATAATAATAATAATAACAACAATAAAGACTATGTAGCCTGAAGCACTATTCTGATAGGGCCACCTCCCTGCTCAGAAACTTTAGTGACTGACAGTTACCTGGAGAACAAATACAAACTTGCAAGTCATTTAAGACCATCTAAAGTCTGGCCCCAATCTACATATACTGCTTCCCCCATTTTCCCTTCTTTCCATCCAAACATGAATCATTTGAGTCACTGGAACATATCTTGTTCTCTCCTACACCACAGTTTGGCATCTTATCAGAAGTATTAAATTTCACTTCTCATCAAGATCCAGCCATCCTTTCCACAAGGTTTTCTCTGATGCCCATAAAACCTTGTTTGTACATTCTTGTAATATTTACAAGATGATATCTTATCCTTTGGTATATTTTATGCCTCTTCTGGGAATGGTGTCTCACTCATTTAACTAATTGTCCTTGAAACTTATGTCTAAATTTATAATTTTGTTTTATTTCCAGTGTCTGTCGGGATGGAATTCTTCTTTGCCAGATTCCCATTGATTTAACCCTACGTAAGTGTTAAAATCACGGTGCAAATTTAAAATATCCACTTTTGCTAAATAAAACAGATTGACAGGCTCTTGATCAATGACAATTCTTCTTATTCTGCAGAAAATTGTTCTGGAGGGGCTGAGTATGTAGACTGTAGGGATCCCAAAGCACAGAGAAGAACTGACAGAACATGCAGTACTCGAAACATACCCGTTTTTGATGTAAGTAACATAGTATTAGAGTTTAGCCATTGAAAAGTTTTGTTTCGGATCCTAGGAAAGCTATAATTTTAATGAAAAATAATTAGAAGGTCATACTCTTTTTGCGTGTTATTTTCAGTTGTCAAAGATTGACTCCAAATACATACATGATATATTTAAGCATTTAAATTAATGCTGATAATATGACATGATTAGAATGGTGCCTCATGGTGTATATTTTATATTTATTCTTGTAGGAGAACTTGCCTTGCAAACGTGGGTGCTTTTGTCCAGAAGGAATGGTTCGAAATTCTAAAGGGATATGCATCCTTCCTGATGACTGTCCGTGCTCTTTTGGTGGACGAGAATATGATGAAGGAAGTGTCACTTCTGTTGGCTGCAATGAATGGTGCTTAATAATGGATTTTTATTTTATTTGTTTTAGATATTAGAAAATGCAGTCTGTTCTTATTTTCATAGGAAAGAATTCACACTTTGGGATATTTGAAAAAAAAAATGACCAAATACAGTTAGAAAAAGATGCTATTTTATTTATTTATTTATTTATTTATTTATTTTGAGACAGAGTCTTGCACTGTCACCCAGGCAGGAGTGCAGTGGCATGGTCTCGGTTCACTGCAAGCTGGCCTGCCTCAAGTCATGCCATTCTCCTGCCTCAGCCTTCAGAGTAGCTGGGACTATAGGCGCTCATCACCACACCTGGCTAATCTTTTGTATTTTTGGCAGAGACAGGGTTTCACCATGTTAGCCAGGATGGTCTTGATCTCCTGATCACGCGATCTGCCCGCCTCAGCCTCCCAAAATGCTGGGATTAGAGGCGTGAGCCACCATGCCCGGCCAAGATACTATTTTTAAAACAGAAGTTTATGTAGCATTGTATATATTGAACATCCTACATTATAACGAAGACTACCACAAAATTTAAATCAATATGAAACATAATTTTGTGCTTCTTTACAAAAGCAATATTAGTGTATGAATCCCGGCATAATATAATCACTACGCTGTGTCATCTTTTCCTTTTAGTACCTGCATTAAAGGGTCTTGGAGTTGTACCCAAAATGAATGTCAAACCATCTGCCACATCTATGGGGAAGGTCATGTTAGAACTTTTGATGGGAAAAGTTACAGTTTTGACGGTCTCTGCCAGTATTCATTTCTTGAGGTAATTATGAATATGTCTTATTAAAATTTTTCTATAATTCTTAATTGTTCATTTGTAGATTAGTTCCAAATACTTTTATTTTCAAATGGGAAATATTTTTAAAAGGTCCCTTATATGTTTCCAGAAGGCAGTAAAATGTTATATTGTGTACTGCTGGCTCTGGAGGCTAGGACTAGATTTCAATGCTGGCTCCATCTTTTATCAGATGCATGTCTTTGGGGACATTCCTTAACCTCTCAGTGTCTCAGTTTTTGTATTTACAAAATGGGCATGAAAATAGCCCCTACTTGAAACCACACTAGAGCACACACTGGAGGACATACTAGTGCTCAATAAATAAATGCTAGATATGATTCTTCCAACAACAGCACTGGCAGCAAAAATTACAACTAACATTTATGAGCGCTTCTTTGTCAAGCAAATTTATATATTTCATTGCATTTAATAATTATAATACTATAAGACTGATATTATTATTCCTATGATGCAGATGAAGAAATTGAAGTTTAGAGAGGTTAAGTAACTTAAGCTACCAAATAGAAAATGTCATAGTAAACCTAGACCTGTCTGATTACAGAGTTCATGCTTGTTACATACATTCCAGAGTTCATCTTATCAAGCTGCAAGCTTCCTAACTAACATTTAAGGGGTAAAATTTTTTGTATTTATGGATTAGTTTTGTTTGAATATCAAGTTTCATGTAAGTCTTTGAGGAAATAAGGCCAAATTTACCTAGCTAGTCTAGAAATAAATCTGTGATTACAAACGTCTATACTTTAAATACTTACATGTTTATGGAATAATTCTGAACTTGTGCAGAAGTAATGGGAAAATAACTGAGTCAAAACAAATTAGCTAGAGTGGACTTAGTCAAGGCTAACTATCTGTAAATGTGTTAAACTATTGTTTTTTGGAAATTCCGTAACACAACATACGGCAGTTTATTGAGTTTAAGGCAGATATTTTCTCTAAGAATATTTGTCTGACACAAATACTGTAGTTGAGTTCTGTGTCTCTAATATTTAGAAACTATTATAATTTTTATTTTAAAGGATTATTGTGGTCATGAAAATGGCACATTTCGTATTTTAACGGAGAGTGTTCCATGCTGTGAAGATGGACTAACATGCTCAAGAAAAATTATAGTTTCTTTTCAGGTACAGTCCTATTTTCTTTATTTTTTCCTCTCACATTGTGACAGCCAAATAAAACTGTTATTATAAATCTGTCTGAATTTACAGGATCAGAATGTTGTCTTGCAAGATGGTAAAGTAACAGCAGTCAAATCTACAGAAAGTAAGAAATGTGAACTCAATACAAATGCATACTCCATACATACTGTTGGCCTGTACTTAATTCTGAAATTTCAAAATGGAATAATCATGATTTGGGACAAAAATACAAGACTGTCTGTTATTCTGGATCCAAACTGGAATGTATGTATATCGCTAACAACTGAATAACGGGGAAGCAAAATCATTTCTGTTACTAAAAATTAAAGACAGGTATTGATAGGCAGAGTATAGGGGAATGGCAGGGTCTCTGTTAGAGTAACAAGCCCTCCACCTTTCTTCAACCTTCTTATGAAATATGAAATGTAATCAAAGATAACAAAATCTGGTTAAAAAGTAAATGCAAGGCCGGGCGTGGTGGCTCAAGCCTGTAATCCCAGCACTTTGGGAGGCCGAGACGGGTGGATCACGAGGTCAGGAGAGCGAGACCACCCGGCTAACACGGTGAAACCCCGTCTCTACTAAAAAATACAAAAAACTAGCCGGAC